AGAATGGTCTATAGATTTCAACCTCCCAATTCACACAATCTGCAGAGACACTGAAAAGAAATCAGAAAAAGCAGATCCTTTTATTGGTTACTTAGTTGTTGTTTGGACTTTTTCTTTGATTTTGCTTTAGCAAACAACATTAGCTATTAGTGTTAAGAAGGTTGTTTCTGTGGCATGAAGGAAAAAGAAAAATGTGTTTAGAATCTGTTTATTTGCATTTTCTGGCATCTGTGACAATACTGCGAGTTTCCTTGGTGGCAAGCCAATGACACTGATGCCAGCATGGTCAAACCAGATTTCTAAGGGGAAGAATGTCAATGGGGAATTGAACATGACATTATTTTTCTTCTATCATTTTTTATTTTTTGTTTGTTTTGAGGAAACCATAACCAAGTAGTTAAATAGCCCTTTAGCAACTAGTATCGACGTCCAGAAGCAACAGTCAGCCTGTGGATGCTTGGCATTCAACCAAATGAGAGAGAACAGTAGTCTTGGATAAAAAATTACAGATACTCTTTAGGGACAGAGACAGGAACATGGTAAGGAAATGGATTTCTACACAGTTGGGTCGAATTCAAGAAACGAATCAGCATATTCACTTATTATGTTTATAGAGGTTGTAATCAAAAAGACATATTTTACCTTCATCTCGATGATTTTCATTTATTTTTCTAATATTTATGAAGTCCAATTTTGTGCCAGAACTATTCATTTATAATTCTACCCTGAATATATAGTTAATCAAATAGAAGCATTTATTTATAAAAAACATTTTAATAATATTAAGAGCTTGAAATAATCACTTAAATTTTCCCTGAATGAATTCTGACTCCCTTTCCTTCAATCAACATTGACCTTTAGTTTACAGAATTTGTAATGAGGGGATATATTCACAAAGGTCTCATGTTAAAACAAAAGTGCAGGAAGAAAATCTCAGTAGCTGTAAACTTGTATAATCTTATTTGCTGAAAAATGTAACATGGGACGTAAAAAGTGTGGAAAGAAAATTTCAGAGACTGTGAAATATCTCATTCATGATTATTTGTTGACATAAAAATTTGTAAGTCTTTAACTTGAAAGTATCCTAAAATATTCTAACAAAAAAGCTAAGACTTTCAAAGCACAGTGTGAAAAGTTACCTGACAAATCAAAGTGGTTCTCCCCCAAACATAAGTAACATGTACATTAGCATACTTTAGGAACTTTAAGTATGGTATGTATTAAATTACACCTAGAATTGGCAATAAAAATTTGAGTCAGAATGAAAAGTTGTTTTTTTAAAAAAAAAAAAAAACAGCAATAGAATTGAGTGGACAAACTATCAAAGAAATCCCAAAGTTACTTAATAAAGAGGATATTACATCAAATTTAAACTGATGCAAAAAAAAAAAAGAAGCCAGCTAATAGTTTTACTTCCTAATGAAAATGACATATGACACAAAGAAAATATTTCCTGAATTTTGGTTGGCTAGCCAGCAAACCTAATAATTTTTAGTGGCAAGGTAAGTTCTCAGTATCTTTGCTTGATTCAAAAGGTACAGACAAGTAATACAGCAATTCAATTTACTAAGTAATTCATTGTTTCAACAAACTATTTTTAAAACCAGATTGCAGTGCCTTACCTTCTTCAGATATTTATTTAAGACCCTTTTATATGTAATATTTTCCAATGAGTCAACTCTTTGCATAACATGGCCAAAGTATTGGAGTTTCAGCTTCAGCATCAGTCCTTCCAATGAACACCCAGGACTGATCTCCTTTAGGTTGGACTGGTTGGATCTCCTTGCAGTCCAAGGGACTCTCAAGAGTCTTCTCCAATACCACAATTCAAAAGCATCAATTCTTTGGCACTCAGCCTTCTTCACAGTCCAACTCTCACAACAATACATGATCACTGGAAAAACCATAGCCTTGACTAGACGGACCTGTGTTGGCAAAGTGATCTCTCTGCTTTTTTAATATGCTATCTAGGTTGGCCATAATCAGGGATTGGGGGCAGGAGGAGAAGGGGACGACAGAGGATGAGATGGCTGGACGGCATCACCGACTCCATGGACATGAGTTTGAGTAAACTCCGGGAGTTGGTGATGGACAGGGAGGTCTGGCATGATTCATGGAGTTGCAGAGTCGGACACAACTGAGCGACTGAACTGAACTGATATGTAATATTAGTGATCACAGTAGGGGGGAAATGTGGCTAAACATATAGAAATATTGCACCTGTGATATGAATTTATAATGCCACCATGATAAATTATGATAATACAAAGTCGGGTTTAAAAAGAAAGTCTAATTAATGTATGATTTCATCTTTGATTGGCTTCTGAACATACAGAACATGGCTCAATAAGGAGCTTGTTTTACTCTTTAAATCTTGCTTCACACAGAATCGTTTTCAGTTACTAATGTTTCCATTCTAAATTAGACTGTAAATTTAATAAAATGTTCATTAACGTCTATCACCTAGCTAATAATGTTTATTTCTTATTTGGCTTTTCATTAAGCTTTTACTCCATGTGATCTTTAGTCAGCTGAATTTAAGTTAAATAAAATGAAATTTGTATCTAAAATTAACATATTATGAGAAATTATGATTCGTGAGCATGTTTTTTCTTTCAAGGCCTTGTTAGTTTTATAAGTACAGTTACAGAGTTTTTTCTTTTTTTTTAAATCATGAAAGCGAATCTTAATGTGGACAGGCACTAAAAGTTAAGTGTGACCTATAATTAACACAGAAGCAGAAATGGTCTAACCATGGTCATCTTTTTGCTGAAGTCCTGTCTTAACCCAACAGTAGAGAACATACATGGTCATAAAATACCACATTAATGCATTCTTTCCCTGTCAAGAGTAAGCTACACCGAGACTGCCAATTTCCATCTCAGGTAGCTCCATTTTTTTCCAACTCAAATTCCTGCTGCTTTTTCATTTGAGTGAATTATTTCTACTTCCTGTCTTTTAAAGAGTTGCTGGCTCACAAAGGTTATCAGATTTCCATCCCAGTGGCTGCTGCATATTCACAGTAAGTGAATGATCTCTCAAAGGTACTTTGAGATGAAAGCTAGTGGATAAATTAGAAGAATTATATTTTTATTTCTTCTCTTTGGAGGGATTATTCTATAACTTTTGTGTTTAGCTTGGAGGACTCTCAAGATTTGATTTTTCTTCTAAATAAGTGAAACAGTCACCCAGATGGCAAACACTTCACATTTTAGCATAGTGTAATTCAATTTGGAGGTCCAATGAAACTCACTTGGAAATGTCCCTCCAGTAATATTTCCCCTCTTAAAAAAATTCAGTTTTAAATTTCTGGCTTCACACATAAACAAGCTCCAGAAAGGCTGAGTGGAGAGTGGTGGGATGGCTAAAAAAAGTTACTTTTAACCATGTAAAAAAAAAATGGTAAAAATAAATGGTGTTCTAATTGTTTTAGGATTTGACCAGAGAAGGAGTGCCTACTCTGTAATTTTTTACTTTCGATACCTTTTATAAGGTTCTGTGAATACTATCCCCTAATTTGTTTTTGGTTTGTTTGGTTAAGAACACTTATATTTCATTCAGAAATCCTATGGACAGAGGAGCCGAGCAAGCACGAGGGTCAGAAGAGTCAGCAACTAAACAAGAATATTCATAGGAGACTCTTCTGTGCGATATATCGTATGGTAAAAGAAAGATAAGACAGTCCCATTCTTCCAGACATATTCAAATTTTAAGTCTATGAAGTTATAAAAATCAATAAAAACATTAGAAAAATTGTACGAGTCTATCAAATGCATATATTTTAATTCATATGCTGCCAACCTACTAGGAATTTCTAACACTTGTTAGAAATTTGGCATTCTCCAAAAGTAGAACTCTCAAGGCTTGATTCCAACTAAGTCCAAACTGACTTAAACAACTCTATTCCCCTATTTAAAATCTCCCTTCTTCACACTGTGTTTACACACACACACACACACACACACACACACACACACGGGTAAGTCAAGGAACTCAGGATATCTTAGTATTTTCTTTAAAATTTTATATTCTTTAAAAATACCTCTTTATTAAAGCTCCTGAAGAACGTTACTTTGTGAAATTCTCATTAACAGGTCTTTCAAATTATGAAACTGAAGCAAATTAAATGTCCCTACTCATTAAAGCTAACAAGATTTTTGTTCTACAAGTAAATATACATGTATAAAAGCTGTACTTATTTGGACCTGAGCACCATGATAGGCATGGTGGGGTAGGGGGAATGGGGTGCAAGGCCAATCGGAATCAACTGTCTGGAATAAATTGAGGTAATGTGTTGTCTCTAGAATATCCAGGAGCATTTGCATCAACTCTAAATCAAGCATTGATTGATCATATTTTGATGATTCATCAGTGGGGAAAGAAAAAGTCTTATTCTGAGATTTAAGTGAGGTTTTCATGAATCTCATCTAATTTAACTGAAACCCAATTGAAAACTAGATCTGACATGGCCAGTTTGTTCTATTATTCCAATGCGGACACAGTTTGAGTCAGTCAACCTCTATGGCTTACATTTTAAAATAACTGGAATCTAAGTAAGTGACTCAAGTTCTAAATTGAGATGACTTTCTGCTGAATTCTACTGATATAGAGAAAGGCACCAGGAAAAGACTATTAGAAGTTCCTATAAAGAATAATTAAAACAGAAAGAATAGACATATGTTAAAATAGTTTAATTTCTCTAGCTATATTTTTATAAAGTATTTACATAATTGTATTTTGTGAACAATAAATGATAACACAGAACACCTTCTATCAGGTACTGACAATTTGTGTTTTCTGGATGACATACCTTGTAACTTCATAGCACTGTACTTACACCAGTAAAGCTGGCTCAAGTGAGCATGGCTTGAAAATTAATATCCTTGCTCCCAGAACCAATGAATAGATACGACACAGCAACGTATATGAAGGAATACCAAAGACTCTGAAGTTTCATAATCAATGTGATACCACCTGATGTCTGCAGCCATGAGATTTACCTATTAAAGTGGAGATGAAGGAGGAGCTGGGATCAAAGGGACATCTGCCCCTTCCTCTCTCAGATCTGTGCGATTCCAGGTGAAAAAGGGGAGCCTGTCCAGAAAACCAGAAAAACCATTATGTATCTGCCAACTTTAATAAGAAGCTAATTTCTCAGAAGAAAATATATTCAACATTGATTATTTACAAAACAAGTACTTAAATAAGGCTCCAGTGAGAAACATCAAGGAATTTAGGAACAAATTGGATTTTATAAATAAATATGTGGATTTTAAGGCCCATGTGGTTTTCTCACTCCTCTCAAAAAGGATGCAGGTGCTGAAATTCACAATTTTTATCATTTTATCACACAGTATTAGCTATGTTGAGATGTCAGTTAAATATTCCAAATAAACGGAGACTTGATGGGGGGAAGAAAAGGTTAGTAAAAAGGAGACTCATTGATAAACATGGAAATGGGCTTTTATTCCACAAAAGCCATTATTGATTTTTTTGAATAATCTCTAAAATAACATAACATGTTCTGTCAATAATTTGGAATATCTATTTTCAATCATTTTTATTCCTTATCACATTCTTTTTGCATAGACATCTAATATTTAATAATTTAGAGAATGATTACTACATAAATAATCACTGGGATATATATATCTGGAAGTTGATGCCACATTATAAACAATATTTCAGTACATTTTCACACAAATGATATAATGAAAATAAATATATTCTAGAAAATTACTACTTTATTGGTTCCTAGTGCAATTGCATAACTACAGGACTTTTCTTAAGTGTTCGCAGATTTCAAAATTCTCATTAATGGGTATTTCTATAATTAATTTTCATTAAGTGTGCTATAAGTGGCTTCAGTTTAAAAAAATGTAGTTTGGCAAAGTGACAATAAAAGTCAATATATAAAATTTTGTAGGGGAAAAACTACCTTGCAATAGAATGTTGCCAATACTGCCCATTGCAGCATCTATAAATAGCCCTGCTCATCTATAAATCATGAATCTGTACACAATCCAAAGTTCTGAGGACCCTATGAAGGTTGCATACACTTTTTTACAATTCTATCTTGACTTCCCAATAACCAACTCATTTACTTGACATTATCTATTCTGTCCTTTTCTTGGTGTTCTTTTTCAACTTTTCTCTTTGTCTCTGGTATTCTAAAGTCATTGATCCTGCCATTCCAAGACTTTTCTAGTAAGTGCAGAGATCACCTGACCCCTATAAACTTCTTGTCTTGTCTTTGGAAATGCACCATAGTCTACAGAACAAAGAAATACTAGAAGGCAAAGTGGTTGTCTGAGGAGGTCTTACAAACAGCTGAGAAAAGAGAAGTGAAAGGCAAAGGAGAAAGGGAAAGCCATACCCAACCAAATGCAGATTCCAGAGAACAGCAAGGAGAGAGTGAACAATGCAAAGAAATAAAGGAAAACAAAACAATGGAAAAGACTAGAGATCTCTTCAAGAAAACTGGAGATACCAAGGGAGCATTTCATGCAAGGATGGGCAAATAAAGGACAGAAATGGCTAAGCAGAGGTTAAGAGAGGTGGCAAGAATACACAGAAGAGATATACAAAAAAAGTCTTAATGACTCGGATAACCACAATGGTGTGGTCACTCACCTAGAGCCAGACATTCTCTGGCGTGAAGTAAAGTGGGCCTAAGGAAGCATTATTGTGAACAAAGCTAGTGCAGGTAATGGAATTCCAGCTGAGCTGTTTCAAATGCTAAAAGTTGATGTTGTTAAAGTGCTATATTCAATATGTCAAGAAATTTGGAAAACTCAACAGTGGCCACAGGACTGGAAAAGGTTAGTTTTTATTCCAATCCTAAAGAAGGGCAATGCCAAAGAATGTTCAAACTGTTGCACAATTGTGCTCATTTCATATGCTAGTGAGGTAATGCTCAAAATCCATCAGGCTAGGCTTCAGCAGTATGTGAACCGAGAACTTCCAAATGTACAAGAAGGATTCAGAAAAGGCAGAGGGATCAGAGATCAAATTGCCAATATCTGTTGGATCATAGAGAAAGCAAGAGAATTCCAGAAAAAAACATCTACTTCTACTTCATTGACTTTGCTAAAGCCTTTGACTGTATGGGTCAAAACAAACTGTGGAAAATTCTTAAAGTGATGGGAATACCAGAACACCTTACTTATCCCCTGAGAAACCTGTATGCAGGGCAAGAAGCAACAGTTAGAACAGGACATGGAACGATGGACTGGTTAAAAACTGGGGAAAAGAGTATGTCAAGGCTGTATACTACCAATCTATTTATTTAACTTATATACAGAGAAGATCATGCAAAATGCAGGCTGGATGACTAACAAGCTGGAATCAGAGACTGGGAGATTTATCAACAATCTCAGATATGCAGATGACACTACTCTATTGGCGGAAAGCCAAGAGGAATTAAAGAGCTTCTTGATGAAGGTGAAAAGTAGAGTGAAAGACCTGGCTTAAAACTCAACATTCAAAAAGATGCTTGCTGCCTGGAAGGAAAGCTATGACAAATCTAGTCTTTATTAAAAAGCAGAGACATTGTTTTGCTAACAAAGGTCTGTGTAGTCAAAGCTATCATTTTTTCAGTAGTCATGTATGGATGTGAGAGCTGGACCATGGAGAAGGCTGAGCACCAAAGAATTGATCTTTCAAACTGTGGTGCTGGAAAAGACTCTTCAGAGTCCCTTGGACAGCAAAGAGATCAAACCGGTCAATCCTAAAAGAAATCAACCCTGAATATTCACTAGAAGGACTGATGCTGAAGCTCCAATACTTTGTCCACCTGATGTAAAGAGCTGACACATTGGAAAAGACCCTGATGCTGTGAAGGATGAGGGCAGGAAGAGAAAGGGACCACAGAGGATAAATGATTGGATGGCATCACTGACTCAATGAACGTGAGTTTGAGGAAACTAAGGGAGATTATGAAGGACACAGAAGCTGGAAGGCTGGAGTCCATAGCATCGCAAAGAGTCAGACACAACTTAGTGACTGAACAACCACCACTATGGAACAAAAGTGGTCTCCAAATGCCACTTTTAGTCATAGAGGTATGACTAAATTGATATTTTAAGCCAAAAAAAGTTGACCAATTTAGATACTTCACATAATTGGTAGAGAGCAGGAATGGCCATAAGTAACTTGAGACATTTTTGTGTTCACTTCCCATAGATGATAGATTTGCAATGACATGAAAAGAAAATATTTGTTGAAATAAGATAGAATTACTGGTCTGCCAAACTAACACTTAGGTTGAAAGGGTTTCATCTACATTTGTAAAACAGATCCAAAGCATTATATGGAGGAGGGAGTGATTAAGCATATGAATATAATACTTGATACCCCTTTAGTGACTGCTACCTTGTATTGGTAAATACTTGGTAAAAAACAGGTAGGGTATACATACTATACTTATTCTAATATAGTCAAATGTCCAAATGCTTGGTCACAGAAAGCAGCTGAAGAAATATACTGAAAGGCTTTCTTAAATCAAGACTCTCTATAGCATCAACATTCTGTGATGCTCAATTTTTTTTGTCTCTAATGACTGATGAAGCAGATTTATCTAGTGGATACAGATATCCTAAACATTAAAATTAAAACTGCAAGAGAAAAACAAATATATTCCTTATTTACTTAAGGAATTACAACAAATTCATTTAAATTTAAACTATCAAGTGAGTGAAACAGAAAATGCAAACTGTAAGAGTGCTAAGATCAAGAGAATCTTCAATTTTAAAGAACCACTGAGTTAAATGAAGGAAATAAAGTCACAATCTTAGAAAAGTCACAGATTTTTAAAACTAGAAATCATAATCTAGTCTTCTGAAGCCAATATTGATTTGTGAATTTCAGCATGTTTCTGAGATATCAAATATCTAACAGAGTAGTACCTTCATCAGTCAAGAGAAGTAAACTAAATCAAGCAGAAACTATATTCACAAAATCATATAACCCTAACATTCTGAAAACAAATAAGTGGAACCCAGGATGCATGAAGCATAATTCTGTGCAATACATAAAATCTATCTGAATCTGTAAAAGGATGTAACTCTTTTATGAAACTTCAAATTTGAAAATGGAATACTGAATACTAAATGCTCATATATTCTCAGAGATCTACACCTGAAATTCAAGCTCAGATGTAGCTTAACTGAACCCTTCCTGACTTTCTCCAGAATTCTTCAAATATCTCTCTCTAATTAATTTGATTAACACTTAAAGCTACCTGAACACATTATAAATTAAATCTTTTTGTCTGCTTCTCACAGCAATATTAAAGATCCACATTCTTCAATAGCTTAAAGGACAAACATATCTATCATTCTAATTTTTTGAAATGTGTCTCAATGTACACATATATCAAATCATCATGTGTGTGTGCATGCTAAGTCGCTTCAGATGTAATTTTAAACATCTGGCAATTGTTTTTATCAATTACATCTCAATAAAGCTGAAAATTCATATATTCCATAATTTGTTGTTTTTCACCCCCCATACTAAAAAGCAAAGACATTACTTTGCCAACAAAGGTCTGTCTAGTTCAGGCTATGGTTTTTTCCAGTAGTCATGTATGGATGTGAGAGTTGGATTGTGAAGAAAGCTGAGCGTCGAAGAAGTGATGCTTTTGAACTGTGGTGTTGGAGAAGACTCTTGAGAGTCCCTTGGACTGCAAGGAGATCCAACCAGTCCATGTTAAAGGAGATCAGTCCTGGGTGTTCATTGGAAGGACTCGTGCTGAAGTTGAAACTTCAGTACTTTGGCCACCTCGAAGAGTTGACTCATTGGAAAAGACCCTGATGCTGGGAAAGATTGAGGGCAGGAGGAGAAGGGGACGACAGAGGATGAGATAGCTGGATGGCATCACCGACTCCATGGACATGAGTTTGGGTAAACTCCAGGAGTTGGTGATGGACAGGGAGGCCCGGCATGCTGTGATTCATGGGGTCGCAAAGATTTGGACATGACTGAGTGACTGACCTGTACTGAATGATTTTTAAGAAAGATAAACAGTTGGAATATCTCTGCTTTAGATAAGAATCACTATCTTTATTAAAAAGGAGAAAGGTTCAAATCTGTAG